CGGTTATGGCTGAGCCGTTAAAAAGAAAGAAATAGTTCCGCGAAATTGGTCCGCCGAGGGGTCTTGCCCCGCGTGTGACGAGGTCGAAACGATCGAGGGGGTCTAGGCGTTCTGTCCGTTAAAATGAATTTTCGTCAGGAAAACCGTCTTGCTGTGCGCATTGCATTATAGCTGTAAAGTCGACTTTTACGAGCGTAAGATCAAATTAAACTTAGGTTATAGTCTCGAGTGTTAAATGTCGAAAAAGGGGTGGAAAAGTGTCAGTCTTAGTTTAAAACTGACATTTCAACATAATAGATGCGAAGAAAATCAACTATGAGAAGAGGATAAAGATAAAAACGTTAGACAATTCCAGATAAGATAATCTAGATGTTATCTAGATATTATCTAAACAAGTTAATCTAGATATTATCTAAATTATCTTGACGTTACCTAAATATTATCTAAATGCAAACTTGATATTATCTATAGATAAGATAATCTTGATGTTACCTAAATATTATCTAGATGTAAGCTTATTATTTACATAAGATAATGTAAACTAGATATTATCTAGATAAGATAATCTTGATGTTACCCAAATAATATCCAGATATAACATCTAGATTATTTTATCCGGATAATATTTATAGTTATCTTATCTAGATAATATGTAGATAATATTTAGGTAACATCTAAATTATCTTATCTACATAATATTTAGATAACATCTAAACTATCTTATCTACATAATATTTAGATAACATCTAGATTATCTTATCTAGATAATATCTAGGTAACATCTAGATTGTCTTATCTTGATAATATTTGGATCTTTACGATCTTTACAAAATTTAGAGAAAAAAAAAAGAAACCACTGAGTCGCTAAGTGAAAATTAATATCACGCGGTCCAGCGCAGGATGAAAGAGGGAGAGAGAGAGAGAGAGCGCTAAGCAGGAATTTATAATTAGTGGACAAAATTATCGTCGATCGTGTCACGAATTCATACAAACACCGCAAATTAAACAGTGTTTGGAAATGCCCAACTTGGAGATTCTAATTCGATCGTGAATTGCAAAACGATGCGCGACAATTCGCGGAACAATGACGCGACACACACACACAAACCAAGCGGTCAATAACCTCTATGGGATTCAAAATAGAATTTTCATTTCAAGAGGTAAGAGAGAGAGAGAGAAGGAGATTTTGCCATCCACTGTTTTCTCTTGACAGACATTATTAAGGTGCATCAATGTTTTATCATCCTTGAGAGTTGAAGGCATTATCTTTTCTATATATATATATGATCATGTCTGATCCATTGACTTTTCTACTATTGGATGAAACAAATGGATCATCTTGTTGGTAGAGCTCTTTGGCTTATACCTGACATCAAAAACCTTAAAAATAGACTTTAATAGAAAAGCGACTAGACAGGGGGAAATCAATGAAAAATTGAATTAACTATTTTTCAGACTAACTTTATACATATATATATATATATACTGTCAGAGTAACTTTTATTTTTATTCGATTTTTTTTCCTACTTTTTATTTAAATAAATAAAATTCCTCTTTTATAATGCAAATATTTATAAAAGCAAAATTTCAACTTTACGATTTCTGAATATACTTTAAAAATGTTCTTATATTAATTAGTATTGATTTAAATTTTATTAATTCAAAAAAAAACAAAAATTATAATTAAAAAATTTTTTAAATAAAGTGATAGGAACAAGAAATAGAAAATAATTGGGGAAAAAAAATCACTCTTGATAAAATACGAGAAAGAAATTGAAAACGCTATAAAAATTTGTCCCTTTTATATATATATATATATAGGTATATGTATATATCGAGGGAAAAGTCTCACGAGTCTATTTCCGGTTGAGTTAGATCGGTACGTTTGATTTCTTGCCTTCTGACTCCATTTCTGAAAGGAAATATCAACGATGACACAACAAAGATGCACCAAAAACGTTCATATATGCAAAAGGCAGAGAGAGAAAGAGAGAGAGAGAGAGAGAGAGAGAGAGAGAGAGAGAGAGAGAGAGAGAGAGAGAGAGAGAGAGAGAGAGAGAGAGAGAGAGAGAGAGTATATGCATAGCAATCTCAGCGAAAATCGACAAACTCAATTTCCTGGACAACACACAGACCATCAAATGACAAATCAATTTTGTGCACGTTCATTTTTATTATATCAAAATAAAATTTTCTAATTTAAAAAAAAATAGAAATTTTTGTCAGCCTATATACAATAATTCCCTTATATATTCTAAATTTAAGAATATGTGAAAAAATTAACGTTACTAACGTTACTAACGTTTCTAACGTTACTTATGTTACTAACATTACTAATGTTACTAACGTTACTACCTATAAAAAAATTAAGAGTTTCTAAAATATATTTTCACAGAAACTTTGCCACTACTTTCCCATTACCACTTTCACTTCCACTTAAACTTTTTATAATTTTCATTCCCATTTCCACTTATACTTTTTCTAATTCTCATTCGCACTTTCATTCTCACTTCTACTCTTTCTAATTCTCATTCCCACTTCACTTCCACTTTTTCTAATTTTCATTCCCATTTCCACTTCCACTTTTCTAATTTTCATTCCCATTCCTATTTCCACTTCCAGTTTTTTATATATTCATTGCCACTACCACTTTTTCTAATTCTCATTCACACTTTCACTTCCACTTGTTCCAATTTTCATTCCCATTTCATCTTCCACTTTTTTATTTTCATTACAACTTTTTTATATTTTCACTCCCACTTCCATTCCTAATTTTTTAAATTTTCATTAACACTTTCACTTTCTCTAATTTCCATCCATGATAATTAAAAAAAGTGGAAATGGTTGCGTAAATGGAAATTAGAAATAGTTTTAGTCGAAATGGCAACAGCTAATGAAAATTAGAAGTGGAAAAAATGGGAGTAAAAGTGGGAATGAAAATTAGAAAAAGGGAAGTGGGAATAAAAATTAGAAAAAGTGGAAGTGTAAATGAAAATAAAAAAGTGAAAGTGGAAGTGATAGTGGAAACGAGAATTAGAAAAAGTGGAAGTGGGAATGGAAGTCCGAATGAGAATTAGAAAAAGTGAAAGTGGAAATGGTAATGAAAATAAAGAAGTGGAAGTGATAATAGAAATGAAAATTATAAAAAGTGCGGGAAAGAACATTAAATACTTCCTGGTGGTTGATTTTCGAGAAGTTTCTGCAAAAATACAATTTAAAAACATTTTCTTAATTTTTTTATAGGTACTAACGTTAGTAACGTTAGTAATATTAGTAACGTTAGTAATGTTAATTTTTCTACCTGGGTATCTTCTTAGCGCCTATTTAAGAATATTTCTCCATGTATTTTATTCTTACAAATATTCTTAAAATAAGAAACACTTTTTAAAAGAAATATTCTTAATTTAAAAAGTGTTTCTTTCCTCACTTGGAAAGATTCATCGGAAAGTGCCCCCTGGAGGTTCTATCAGAATTCCGCCGGAACTTCCAACGTAATTCCGTCGGAATTCCATCGGAGTTCCAAAGAATTTCCTATGGGATTTCGACGGAATTCCGATTAATTTTTTTCAAAATTTTTAGAGTCCTAATTCCGTCAGAATTCCGTCGGAATCCCATCGGAAATTCTTTGGAACTCCGATGGAATTACGTTGGAAGTTCCGGCGGAATTCTGCGATAGAACCTCCAGGGGGCAATTTCCGGGGAATCTTTCCAAATGGAATCTCTTTCTTAAATTATAAGAAATATTCTTAATTTTAAAAGTGTTTCTTATTTTAAGAATATTATATTCTAACAGTAAGAATAAAATGTATGGGAAATATTCTTAAATACGCACCAAGAAGATATATTCTTTTTAGAATATAATTTTTCCAGTTATAAAAAAAAAATAGTGGAAGGAAAAAAATGTAAAAATGACGATTTTTTCCCCCCTTTCATATATAATATTTTTCGATTTGAGAAAGAGAGAGAGAGAGAGTATCCATTAATGTGACATTGGTGGCTGCAGTACAATCGCTACGAAACACACTATCTTAATTAGCCTTCTATACTCGAGTGCCTGGTGGTGTTATCGATCTCTCGGCATGCCTCTATCTAAATGGATACGTATTACCAAATTACGCTCAACTCGGGAGAAGAGGTGACGTCGAGGGCCCGTTGTTAATGGAGTATGACTTAATGCGAAACTCCTATAAGCCTCGTTCCAATTGTGACTTCTAAAATGAGACCCTCATCTGCTAAATGGCATCTCAATTACTAGAAGGCTCTTTTCCAACATTCAAAACCAATCTTCATTTTTAAGCGCAAAAAAAACGAATTATAAAAATTTCTCCAACTTAAATTTTAAATTAGTAAAAGTTTTAACTAATTTGAATCACTTTTGTTATTTGCAAATATTAAATTAAAAAAAAAAGAGACTAAAAACTCTTTTTAAAAACAATAACAGTTTTGCTTATTTATTTTAAGTATAAATAGTCTATTTTATGTTTTATATCGAAAAAAGAGAAGATAATTTCGTTTCTCTCAGTTTCCATTTAAAAAAATATAGTGGAAAAATAAAAAAATAAAAAAAAAACAGATTTCCCATAAAAAATCTAACACATTTCGATACTTAATTCACAAAAATTGAGGGTTATATAGTGCCGACAATATTTACCCTTTGTATATAGAAGAAAAGTTAGGAAATATATTTTTTTTTTACACGTTCTATGGCGTAATGGTGCATTTACGAGCAATAAACTCCAGATGAATGAACACGCTTTTGTAGAGTTTATAAACTGATTGGCTACTGGGAAGTACAGAATTGATATCCCCTTGGGCAATATTGTTCTCCTATAGTTCGATCGTTTAAATGCAGTTTAGTGTAATTTTAACCAAAAACCGTTAACCTTTCCCACTGTCTAATAAGATCTATTCAATAAATTTTAATTAACAATTATTAATTGTAAATTAATGACAAAAAAAAATTTTTTAATATTTTAATGTATTTTTTCCATTTTTTTCAGGTGAAGGTAATGTTAAGAGTCTCGCCTGGAGAGGGTGGTAGTTTTTTCAACGCCGACAAAAGGAAAAAGCAAGTGACCTTGATCGATCCAGCCTCGGCCCAATCTTCAACAGCTGAAGATCGCAGGCCGACTGTTGCCGCACCAAAAATGTTCGCTTTCGACGCAATTTTCACGGAAGAAGATTCTCAGGTAAATTTTTATTATTAATAAAATAAATTTTAAATTATTAACTTATTAAAGAAGAATCTACTATATTCGAATAAAATTTGTATAAAAACAAAAAAAAAACGCTTAAAAAGGTGACAAAAATTTAATAAATAAAAGCATTTTCTGTTTTATTTAATTAAATAAAATAAATTGAAATTTCAAGAGTGAGAGATTGATTGAATTCGAATGTATATATATATATATATATATATATATATATATATATATATATATATATATATATATATTTGGTAAAAGTCAAAAATGAAAGGTGAAAAAGTGAATGAAATGGATATTGAATGTTTGAAACGAAATGTGAACGTGCCCCATCGACAAGTTACATTTATATGTCGCATGAACTGAAACGGGAAAACGTCCCTGCCGGGCGCATAACTAAACTAATTTCTCGACCTCTAAACTCAGCCTCTGCACCGCATCGACCGACTATCCCTCAGGCAGAGATGTTGACTCTCTACTTGCGACTTCTACATCAGTTTCCTATGACTTTCCTTAACCAAAAGCACCTTCACATATATATATATATACACAAGTTCCTTGGGAGAACCTCTTTTAGAATATAGGTCTTTCATTTATGTTAGCTGCCATGTTACTTTGAAATTCCTCAAGATTCTCCAAGTTTTAAACTAAATTTTCATCTTGCTCACGTCTCAGATTTCACGTCGTAAAATACAATTAACACTATATTCTCATTCTCTCATTTTCCTTCAACTTCAACCCTAAAATTAATCAGATCCTTCATTACAATTCTAACAATGTTCAAAAAAAAAAATAAAAATTCTGCTTTTACTTCAGAAACAAGTACATTGTTTAAACAAATACTCCAAAGTTCATGAATATTCAACAACAATACACGAGATATAGTTTTCATTGTATTTAGTGAGTTCATCTCATTAATTAATCTAACAATGAACATAATTATCAGCATATAATTAGTTCCACACGGTACAAAAAACAGATTTCCATTTCTGAGAGATTTACTAGTTGCTATAAAACGAGAAAAAAAATTTAAAAAAAGAAAAAAAAGAGCATGTCGCTAAAAGTAAATGTCGAAAAAATTATAGGAATATTTAGCCAAAGTCGCAAAGCTTTGTGTAATCATGCGAAATAACATCAAATAGTAAATATGGTTTATTGGCAGCAAAACGTAAAAAAAAAAACAATTTTTGGAACCACTAAGTTATCGTTTTATGCACACATCGTAAATTGATGGACAAATAATGCAAGCAAATTCTAGTAAAGATATATAGAAATAAACTTATTTTTAAATAAATATATGATGCATATTTATATTAAAAAAAAATACTCTCTAAATCTGAATTAGTAAAAATTTTAACTAGTGACTCACTTTTTGCTTTTGGATTAGTTACTAATTCTAAAGCAAAAAGTGAGTCACTAATTCAAATTAGTTAAAATTTTTACTAATTCAAATTTAGAGTGTATCTAAACCTGAATCAGTCATATTTTACTGATTAGCAGTAGAAATCTACTAATTGCCATAGCGAGAATTGAGCAACTGACAATTAGTAGAAATTTACTGATTCAATTAGTAAAATATCAATTACTGATTGAATCAGTAATGGCAGCCACAAAATCTACTGATTTATTAGTTAATTTTAAAGGTTATGTTATATACAAATTACTGATTCACATAAGTTATATTCTATTGCTTGCATATTCACTAATATTAGTAAATTTCAAAAAATAACTGAAACTTCAGTTAAAATGAAAAGTACTGATTGAATTAGTAAAATTTCTACTGATTCAGATTTAGAGAGTGCAGATAGCATGTAAACTTGCAGCAATTTTGCGGCAAGCTTGCCGTGCATAATTCCCAACCTTGCACGGCAAACTTGCCGCAAGCTCACTGTAAGCTTTAAATGTCCCACCTGACCCAAGTAAGTTTACCGAAAGATTGCTCAGTAAGCCTACTGAAAGCTTGCAGTGTAAGATTACTGCAAGATTGCACAATAAAATTATCGCAAAATTGCTCAGTAAGCTTGTAGCAAGGTTGGTGCAAGGTTGTCAAATAACCTTACTTTGAACCTAAAAAAAATTTTTTGTTAATGTTTCGTCTAATTCATATCTAATAAAATTGTATAAATTAGACGAAACTTAAAAAAAAAATTTTTTAGGTTCAAGGTAAGGTTATTCGGCAACCTTGCACCAACCTTGCTACAATCTTACCGTGCAAGCTTATTGAGCAATCTTGCGATAATCTTATTGTGCAATCTTGCAGTAACATTACACTGCAAGCTATCAGCAGGCTGACTGAGCAATCTTTCGGTAAACTTACTTGGGTCAGGTGGGACATTAGAAGCTTGCAGTAAGCTTGCGGCAAGTTTGCCGTCCAAAGTTGGGAATATTTGGCTCATTTGGATAGAAGAAAAATTACATCTAAACAATTAAATTTAATGACTAAACAAAATTAGAACTGCAATCATGAAGAAACTAAAAAAAAAACCTATTAAATTAGAGAGGAGTGAATGCATTTTTCGTGCTAGTTTCACCATTGACCACGTTTACTCGAGACAATATTTGCACTTAATCGTGAATCAACAGAGTCTCCCTGACGATAAACGGGGTGTATGCACTGCTCAGCTAATTACAACAAGGAGGTGGATGTGGATCGATAGACTCTGGATTATGCATCGACTTGGAATGGCCATGTTGCGGGTGAAGAGAAACCCCTAGTCAAATAGGCAATAGGCAACACGACACACACATACATTTGGGTCGCTTCACTGTTTTGACTTAATGGGATACATATGTATCTATTATATAATATAATTATATTAAATTATCTCTACACGGAGAATAATGAATTTTTTTTTACCTTTACTATAAACCAGGAACTATCAAATTTTATTTGATCGCTACAACAAATCTGTATTGTAGGGTGCCTACTAAAAATCTGAATTAAAATTCCAGGACTTTTTCAGGACTTTCTAGGACAAATTTCTTATTTTTCCAGGACATTAAATTGGATGACCTTAAGGAATAAAAAAATTTGTAGTTTAACTATTGTTTTCAGAAATTATTAAAAAATTAAATAATTACTTAAGTAAATTTTCATTTTACTTATTTAATGAATTTTTTTTAACTTGATTAACAAAATTATAAATTTTTGAAAATTTAAAAGCAAAATATAAAAAATTCAAGGACAAAAATTAAAATTCCAGGACTTTCAAGGACATTCCAGGACATTTTTTCAAATTCCAGGACATTTCCAGGACTAGTAGACACCCTGGTATTGTTGTAGTAATTTCTTTGTAATACTAACAATATATTCGTTGGTATAACAATAAAAATTTGTTGTATCAATAAAATTTTGTTATACCAACGAATATTTTGTAATATTACAAAGAAATTACTACAACAATACAGATTTGTTGTAGCGACCAAAATTTGTTAATTCCAGGTCAATCTCTTTTATTTTTATCAGCAAACAAAAAAAAAACCCCAAAATTCTATTTCAACAACTCGATCGTAAAGATTGATTTCTTCACCTTCTCAAGAATTCTCGTCCATTATTCATTTCTTCCGAATACTCAGTTTGATTTTCTTTTTTATATTCTGATATATAAAAAAAACTATAAAGTACATGATTCTTCCCTCATCTCAACAGTGGCGAAAAAAAAAAAATTACACGGATTTCACGACACGCGAGAGATATTTCCGGATATTTCGCGAATCTCGTGGGACATTACCCGGCGTTCGATTTAAATGAGCCGCTTTATCCGGCAATGTTTCGCTCTCTATGCACGTCGAGTATTCTCTAGAGATCATCCAAACGCGTATACTCTCTCTTTCTCTCTCTCTCTCTCTCTCGTCCTCTCTTTTCTCCCTAACTCTATTCTCTCTTTCTCTCTCTTCACCTCTTTTTTTTTATCCTTGACTGTTGAACGCATTTTAGAAGACCTATAGAAATGAATCGATTGATTCGATCAAACGCCATGCTACTGATTGTCATCCAAAAACACAATGGAACCAAATCTCCGTCTCATTCTACTCTATCTGGATTGTCAGCAATCCTCTTTCCGTGTTTGTATTCTATTACCCATTCTACGTTTTTAATAGAGAGCATTTTGATTCATGATTTAATTCAAGTAGAAAAAATATTCACGATGCTCAAGAAGCAATAACAGGTATGAGAAAAAAATGTATATAAATATTTTAATGTTATATTCAACATTATATTTATTGGTTATAGAAATCCTTTGGAATAAAAATCAAAAGCTTCCTTTTTTCAATATAAAGTTAAAAAGTGAAATAACTTGAAAGTTTTTTTTTACACTGTACATATTAAAATTATTCTATTTTAAAGAAAGTTCACTGATTAATTGATTTATTATCATGAACATAACAGGCAATAAACATTTTTATTCATTGAACTAGTCTAAGTTTTGAGGTTATGTTCATGACAATAAATTAATTAATCAGTGAACTGTCTTTAAAATAGAATAATTTTAATATGTGCAATTTACAGGAAAGTTAAAAGATACTTTTTTTTTACTTTATATTGAAAAAAGTTAAATTTTTTGATTTTTATTCCAAAAGATTTCTAACCTATAAATATAGTGTTGAATATAACATTAAAATATTTATACATATTTTTGTCACCATTCGGGACGTTGGCGATTCGAAACATGACAATTAGGGATTTCAGCAATTTCGGAAGATGACAATTAGGGATAATGAAAATTTAGGACATTTGGAGTTCGGGACAATGACAATTCGTAACATGTTCAATTCGGGACAATTACAATTAGGGACGTTGACAATTCAAGACAATGAAAATTTGGGACATTGTCAATTTATGACAATGACATTTCGGGACATTGACAATTTGGAATATTGGCACTTTGGGAAATTAGCAATTCGGGACATTAACACTTTGGGACATTGACAGTATAGGACACTGGCAATTTGGGACATTAGCAATTTGGGACATTAGCAATTCG